AGTGGGAATCCTGCTATACCGGGACCTTGCTGTCCAGATCACGGATCATGCCGCAAACCTGTGGAGACGATGGGTCTGGGTCAAGTTTTCAGGCTTTGGCGCAGACTGAGCAGTTATGACTGTACATGCTCCGGTAGACATATCTGAACGAAATAGATTCTTCCAAGACTTGGTCTCTTGTACCCCAGACGTGGATAATTTACTGGTTGCTGGCGATTGGAACACTTCTCTCAATGATCTACTCAAACCCTCATCAGGTACCCATGATATGCATTCCTTGGTGGAATACATGACAGACCTGGAGCTCTTCGATGCTTTCAGATTAATGCATCCATCAGACCCAGGCTTTACCTAGGGCTCTCTGGCCTCAAAAGGGAATGTTGTAGGCTGCTGTAGGAGACTGGACTTTGGCCTTCTCGGCCCAGCCTGGTGGGATGCTGCGTTAAACATTAAAGTGGTAAGGCACCCAATGACAGATCACTACCCTGTAAAATTATAATTTCAGCTACTGGAAGTGGTTGATAGGGGCAGTGGCTATTTCAAGCTTAACATTCAAAACCTCAAGGACTCAGGCCTCTCAGCCTAGGTAGAGGACTTCTTTAGCAAATGGCCAAAGGCACATCAGTTCTTTCAGAATGTGAGAGATTGTGGGACGCGGGCACCAGCATCGCATCCAACCACCTAAGTATTTTCTCCAGGATCATGGTAGCAAACCGGAACAAAGAGGAAGCAGACATTGTTAAAAATCTCGAATGGGTGGAGGAGCGCATGCAGCTCCACCCCGTATCAGCCTCGGTGTGGGGTCCGGAGAGAGTCAAACTGCTCGCAAAATGGGACGACTTACAGCAAGTCAAAGCAAATGAATGGGCAGAAAGGCTTACAGTAAAGGGGATGTCTGTGTACGACAGAATGACTAAGGAAGCCTTTAAAAAATGCTGCCCAAGGGGGCAACCCAGTCAATGAAAACGCTCAACCACCCATTCGTGGTAGAGGCAAAACCTGCCTCTACTGCAAAATTTATGGTATGTGTGCTTACGCAGTACTATACTTAAAAAACATACTGACATCTCGCAAACTCGAACAAAACTCAGACACAGACCTCACAGAAGACTCATCTCACTGGGGAAACCTTCAGGTCCGGCTTACAAACAATGGTAGGCTGGACCTGGAGCGCCCAGTCACGGTAGAGGAAATTACGTCCACAGTAAGCAGCATGGCCAGAGGAAAGGCCCCAGGCAAAGACGGACTTCCGGTGGAATTTTACGCAAAGTTCGAGAAGTCCTTTTTTCCCTACTTAGCTGAAATCTACAATGAGATACTCACGGGAGGCAACCTGTCGAAAGGCATGACGCATGGGATCATCACCATCCTGTACAAAGGCGAGAACACCGAGATCAGAAATTGAAGACCTATTTCGTTGCTCAATGTATCATACAAAATTCTAGCAAAGCTGTTAGCAAATAGGCTAGGGAGATACTTATCGGAACTAGTAGGAAGGGATCAGGCTGCCTTCGTCCAAGGCAGATCAATTTTTGATAACATCCTCACTGCCATTGAAGCCCTAGAATGGGTCCACCAGGAAAGGCTCGACCTTGCTGTGCTACTACTGGACCTGGAGAAGGCCTACGACCAGGTAAATTGGGCCTATGTTCTCACCACACTGAAGGTGCTGCAGTTTGGCCCAAATTTCTGCAGATGGGTACTAGTTTTGTATGTATACTCAACAACATCCGTATCCGTATACGGACATATCTCCACACCGTTCGCCTTATCCAGGTCACTAAGGCAAGGGTGTCCCTTGGCCCCGCTCCTGTTCGTCATGCAACTGGAGGTACTAGTGTCAAACATCGGAGTCCACCCTCACATCATGGGGCTACCAGTCCAACAAACGGAACGCCGAGTAAAGGCACTGGCAGATGATCTGCTAACAATGACGGAGAACTCAGAAGAGTCCCTAAGGGCACCGAAATCATGCCTGGTAGTGTACTCGTGCCTCTCAAAGGCAGCAGTCAACTGGTCCAAATCGGTGTATTTTCTTCCGGAGGCATTCACACTAGCGGTAGAATGGGGCATGAAACGCATTGCAGGAGGCAATGCAGAGCGATACCTAGGGGTGCAGGTGACCCTGGGTAGATGTGCAGAAGCTTAGAACGACCTGCTGCAACAGAGGGTTATCCAAAGAATCGCAGTATGGGGTCCGGCCAAACACCTTTCGCTATTTGGTCGGGCCCTAGTTACAAATGTCGCTTTGTTCGCACTCTTGTGATTCGTGGGAACCCTTAGGGCCCTGGGTAAACAGCTGATCAAGATAGTCCGGTGGGTGGCAGCCAAATTCATTTGGAAGCCCTTCGCAAAAGAGAATGAAGGGTTCATCCGCAAGGTGGCATGGGAATTGATCCGCCACTCCAGACAAGAGGGTGGATTAAGGATGCTCGACCTAGCATACCAAAACGTTGCTCTGTTGGTAAAATGGCTCCTTAAGGCTATCACTTCTACTACAGAGGATCACTGGATACTATTAGTTGAACAACTTCTAGCGAAGGACTGAAACCTGCAAAACCCCAAGGATGACTTGCTGCATGATAAAATCCTATTCATGAAGATAAATCTCATCACCTTTTTGGCAGGATGTGCTACAGGCCTGGCTAAAGGTGGGGTCCAGGCACTGGAATCCTCCAACAACCAAGGAGGAAGTTTTGTCCCAACCTCTGTATGATAACCCTTCATTCGGGGGGAGAACGGGTGCCCGTTCTCCGAGGGCTGTGCCACGGAGGCTTTCGGCAGACAATAGGCCGAGAGGGGTGTTCTTCGGGTCGCGGACCTCTGGGACAAATTGATGGGCAGATGGCAGTCAATAGAGGAACTAAGACAAAAATCGGGACGTCTCGAAAAAGTCGAAGACAAGGCAGCCTAGTTGAGGGCAGCCATCCCACTGGAGTGGAAACACCTTCTCAGCCCTCAAGGTGTGGACCCTCCGGGGACCTGGTTCATTACGCAAGAGATAAAACAGGAACCAGATCAAGGGTCAGAATAGGACGAAAGGTTCTGGAAGCTAATTAGAATGAAAACCGACGGAACGAGATCCTTTCAGAGAAGGGCCAAGGAACTACAGTCAGACAACCTCCTCCTCATGGAAGATGAAAAAGGGGAAGAGGTGGAAGAAGAAGCCCTTACACCAAAAAGGCCGCTAGGAAACTCGAAACAAATAAGAGTGCGAGAGGAGTGCAGCGAGGATGGGAACTGGCACTGCACGCTGTGGATGAACGGGACGCCTATCCACAGTCTGAGAATGGACCCAAAACTGTGGTCTTGGAAAGGTTCAAGACCTTTTACACAAGGGGACTGGCTGACATACTATTCCCCAGCGGGAGGCTATGACATCCAATTAACAGGCAGATCGCCGATTGCAGTAGCAGTCCGAAGATGGACAAGAGTTAGCACAACAGCAGAAGAAGACTTTTGCAAACAAATAACTCGTTGCTGGACCCAGCTACAGAAACTGCCAATGCAAAGGGCGACAACAATTCTCTGGCTACTCTCAATGATGTCAACCCCCTCGGCAGCATGGCTAGCCGAGAGGGGTATGAAGATACAGATCCAGTGCTCCAGATGCGGGTGGCCGTACGAGTCCACGGTGCACCTATGGGTAACTTGCCCACTCTCTCGCAGGATCTGAAAATGGTGGACTGAACATTGGGACCGCATCAGCGGTGCGGTAATCAATTGGGATGATGATTGTATATTGTTTGGGGGGGTCCCAGATGGATTAGCCTTGGATAAAGGCTGGGGCTACGTGGCCCAAGCCCTCAGAGGCTGTCTATTCCTAGTCATCTGGGAAGTACGGAACACGAACGTCTTTGAAGGACGATTTCTCTCAGACAAAGCAATCAAGTCGACAGTCAAGCTTCACATTCGACGCAGCCTTAAGAGCGACTGGCAACGGAAAGTTACGGACTCACGACAGAGAAGAGCAGATCTGGTGTGGTTTTCAGAGACCTGGGCAAATCAAGGCCGGCTGGCCAAAATACAAGACAAAAAGCTGATGCTGGATGATTGGTTATTTGGGAATGAGTAAGTACCTGGGCGCTCGGTTCAATCTCCACAGTAGGAGGGCAGCAGAAAGTGGGATGTGGGGTCTGCTGGGAGCACCAAGCACGTCTAGGAGCCTCAGGCTCCACCGCCCCGCGTTAGGGGGGGTTACTTCGGTCGGTTTCCGTATCCCGTATCGTCTGGAATATTGGTCTTTTTGTGGAAAGGGGGTTGGTCCCCTGCAGGGTGTTTTACACCCTGTAAGCGAAACTGGGTAATGCTCCCAGCACTGTTCTTTCATCCGGGTAGACTGTGAGGACCCCGGCCTCAAAAGATTTATTGAAATATAAGCCTTCGGCACTTGGGCCGGTGTTTTTATGGTTTAAAAAAGAAAAAAAAAAGAAAAAAAAAGGGGGGGCAAACTGTCGATGACTCGTCCGCAAGAACGTGGAAAATCGCCATATTTGATCCGCGGAAAAAAAAAAGAAAAAGAAAAAAAAAACGTGAAAAAATCGCCATATTTGTTTTGTCTTTTGTGCATGTGGTGAGTAGTGGATCGACGCCCGTTGGCGGCCCTGCTGTACGCCGCCGGTCATTGCAGCAGACAGCGCGCGTGCACATACGTGAGGACGAAAAGTGAATTTTCGGGTTTGTCGAGGTTGCCATTGGTGATCCGCGCCGCTGCTTGGCGCGGTAGGCAGGCGAACGAGACGTCCCCGATACAGCCGGTCGTTGCAGCAGACAGCGCGCGTGCATATACGTGAGGGCGAAAAGTGAATTTTCGGGTTTTTCGAGGTTGCCATTGGTGATTCGCGCCGCTGCTTGGCGCGGTGAGGGAAGGGTTAGGCAGGCGAACGAGACGTCCCCGCTCTCTCGTCCATCCATGTCGTCGGGACTGCGCGTGCGCGTGTCCGCGTCCGCGCCCGCGCGCGGCATTTGCGAGCGTGTTGCCGTTGATTCGGCATTACCCGAGCGTCCCACAACTCCGTTGAAGAAAAGGAGGGAGAGCGGTAATGTCCTCCGTCGCTGATGATGCAAATTGCTGCCGCTGAAGTGCACTCTGATCGGCGCTGAATGCGCGCTGAGTTTGGAGGGCTCGCTGAATGCTCGCTGCATGTACTAGGAGACAGCGCAACGAGAAAGAACGGGAAAGACAAGTCGAGGGAGCGACTCCCGGCAGCGAGCAGAACACTCCCAGGCTGATAATAGGAAGGGGGAAAAGACAGCGCACTGAACTGGTAGTAGATAGTGACTTCATGTGCACCCTCTTTCACTCTCCTCGACTTGACTACCTTGAGTTGCTGTTTAAAATTTTAATTGTTTTATTTTTTGTGCTATATGGCCTGGGCTTTTCTTGGTACGCGGGCAAGCTTTCTTTTCAGCCCTCATTTTCCACTTCCTGGATATGTCTTGTCCTTCTCGCTCAACCATCTACATCCAAATGGGCATTTCTCCTGATCCTCTTCGAACGAAGGACAGTCTCATTGGTGCGTGCGTGCGTGCGTGTGTGTGTGTGTGTGTGTGTGTGTGTGTGTGTGTGTGTGTGTGTGTGTGTGTGTGTTGTGTCAATTATACAGATTACGGTAAATAATAAGATTGTATGACGGAGGGGTTCTCTGAACTAGCAAAAGAGGAAAGCTTGGTGGAGGTGAGAGTGGGAGGAGGAGAGGATCATTTAATTACGGACGGTATCCTTAATGGAAACTTTCTTTCGAATTTCCCCACCTGCGTTATGCCATGTCAATGCTCGTTAAACATTCAATGGCAGTGGACTCTGGCAAGTAGTGTATGACCGCAAAAATAAAAATAAAAAAATAAAATAAAAATTCTGAATGACGTAGGGCCGGTCAGTGTTAGTTCGATGATGATATCTCAAGGTCGTCGCCCTTTTTTTTTTTCTTCATCTTTTCAAGCCCAGAGTTGTTGTGGACGTTGAATACTAGACGCATGACAGCCACCTAGTAAGCAATGGGCGCGCAGCGCTGGTCTTAGGTAGTCGGACATGTGGTTACTGTCGGCCATCGATTTATGCGTGTCATGCTTGGGCAGGGGCCATGCGAGTCTTCTCTTTCTCTGTATCGTTCCAATGTTAACGAATGTAGTATGAAGGTCCCTATTCCTTATGAGACTCCATCCCGACCTTCAGTCAGTACATCAGGACTCGAGCATAGGACTGTTTTTTCTTTCTTTTTTCTTTTTGCGAACGTAGTTCTGTTTTCATGAACAGTTCCTGGGTGTACCATTCCATTTGTCCGCGTGGGCTGGGTGCAAGCGCCAAGTCTATTATCGGCGATCCCTGTGGGGATCGAACCGAGAACCTCCAAGCCAAGTCTATTGTGAGTGCTAAGCAACAGATTCCCGCCTTTCACCGTCCCCCCCACCTTTTTTTTTTTCAATTGATAAAAGCTGCCTTCTTCTTTTTTTTTTTTTTTCCCTTTACTTCCTTCTTTCTTCTTAATCTTCTCAATTCGTCCGGATTCTCCGACTTATCTCCTAATACCAACTGTCTTTTCTACAGACTAACAACACCCCCCTTCACAGGCCTACTCACGGCCTGACATCGGTCTACAGCCGACCGATTGGAACTCAAGTTCCTCGCAACCGTGGCACTCTACCACCCTCCTCCCCAAGGTGACCTCCTGTGGTCTGAACCATGAACCGAGATGCCCTGGTTCGTTGACTCCTGCCTACTCCCCCGCTAACTTCCTTCTAGACGCCAATTGGAGAAGCTCAGACCCGCACGTGATGGTAGCCAACCAGCTGATTCCGAATGGGACTAGCCAACCAGCTGATTCCGAATGGGACTAGCCAACCAGCTGATTCCGAATGGGACTAGCCAACCAGCCGATTCCGAATGGGACCACCCAGCCAAAAAGCTGCCTTCTTCGCATCGGGGGACAGACATAGATTTTTCTCTCAGCTCACATATTTAACTGGCGTTCTGCCATGTCACGGAACATATCCTTCTTTTTTTTTCTTTTGTAAAGGGCGATGGCCTTGAGGTATTATCATGGGACTACCCAGCCCAGGTAAATTCGATCTTGTGTCTAATCCGACACCGGGGGCCATGTACCACTAGCGGGCGTTTAGTTTATGTTTCGTGTAATTTTCAAACGCGGTCACACCGTGGCCATGGAATTTTCAGATCGGATGGATGGCAGGGAGCCATGCATATTCGGAGCCAGAAGTTCCAGAACTAAACCTCGACAAGTGGGGCATGGGCCCGGGTGCCCTTTTCAGCCCAGGGTGGCCATATTGCCTTCAGGGAACCCCCAGTGCGGGACACCGGCCAGTGGCCAGGGAACATATCTTTCTGTCACTTCTTTCCGCCTGTCTGCACGAGGGGGGAAAAGAAGGAAAAAAGCAACGACCGGTGAAAAAAAAAAAAAAAAAAAANAAAAAAAAAAAAAAAAAAAAAAAAAAAAAAACGATCGGTCGTGAAGGGCTCGGCAACTCGTATTGCCGCCTTGCAGAGCGAGCGCCTCGCTCTTCCACTCTCCAAATGTGTAAAATGGGAATGAATCGTCGGCTGCAACATGGAAACTACGCCGCCAGAACTTGATTCGTTTGTGTCATGCGATGAGTGGCAGAGCGAGGCCCGACGTCCAGCCTACCGACAGGTAGATCGAGCGTTTCTGACGACGCCCGGGCAAAAGGTGCCATCTTGCCCGTAGCCTCGGTCGAGGTGCGTCTTTTTTTTTTTTTCTTCTTAATTTGGCCCATTTTTTCTCCATTTATGCGTGTCATCCGTGCACAGGGGGGCCTCGCTCTTCCACTCTCCAAATGTGTAAAATGGGAATGAATCGTCGGCTGCAACATGGAAACTCCGCCGCCATAACTTGATTCGTTTGTGTCATGCGATGAGTGGCGGAGCGAGGCCCGACGTCCAGCCTACCGACCGGTAGATCGAGCGTTTCTGACGACGCCCGGGCAAAAGGTGCCATCTTGCCCGTAGCCTCGGTCGAGGTGCGTCTTTTTTTTTTCTTTTCCGATAGACCACGGATCAGATATTAAACTGATCAGAACAGATACTGCACTTGATCTTAGCCAAAAGGCCGAGAAAGGTATCGTTTTTTTTTTTTTTTTTTTTTCTTTTCTTTTCTTAATTTGGGCCATTTGTTCTCCATTTATGCGTGTCATCCGTGCTCAGGGGCCATGCTAATCTATCTTCTCTGTATCGCTCCAATTTTACCGGAGGTCCCGAAGGACGAGGTGCGTTTCTGTCTGTCACGCTTCCCTCTTACCGACTGCGAGCAGTCGTATAAAAAACGCCGTACATTTCATAGCTCAAGCTGGGTAGAAGGGTGGTGGTAGTGCTGGCAGAAGGAAAACGACGGGGGGAGATAGGTGGGGTGGGTGGCTGGGTGTGGTAGGTCGTGGGGCGATATCACACACGAACATCATGGATGAAGGAATCAGGCTGAAGAGTAGGACAGGTATTGAAAAAGAGGAGCAAAAGCAGAAGAAAAATGGATGTGGTGGCCACTGACGATACGAGTACGTCAAGGCGGGGGAGGAGGAGGAGGAGGAGGAGGAGGAGGAGGAGGAGGAGGAGGAATGACAGAAACCGAGGCAGAAGAAAGTAAGCAGGCGGCAGAAGAAGTGTGAGGAAGAGGAGAAGAAGGTCGAGAAGATGTGTGAGGAAGAGTAGAAGAAAGAGGACATCCTGGAGGAGGAAAGAGGAGGAGGACGAAAAGAAGAAGATCAACAGTGATAAACCGAGGTTAACATAAATTTTGTCTTTCGCACATGCTTCCATAGATCAGTAGACAAATCTGCACGCACTGAACTCAGCAGCGGCAGCAGCGGCAGCAGCAGCAGCAGCGGCAGCAGCAGCAGCAGCGGCAGCAGCAGCAGCAAGAAGAAGAAGAAGAAGAAGAAGAAGAAGAAGAAGAAGACAATGAAGAAGAAGATCGGCCGAAGTGGAAGTTGCAAATGCTTAACGAAGAAGGAAAGGAAAACGAAAGAAACACACGTCGACAAATCCTTCATGTCCATTACTACTGTAGGCTAGCGCAAAACTGCGACGCCTGTGCTCACCGCTGCTCACCTGTCCCGTCAGAGGAGGGAGGCGGTCGTGAATGCAGAGGGGAATTCACTTCCGTATGTCCCGTCGCCGGCTGGTCAGAATGCCCTTGTCAGAGTGTACCTGGACGTGGGGCAAGTAAGTTTTTTTTTTTTTTTTTTTTTTTTTTTTTTTTTGGTAACGTGTTTTCCCACGTACCTGGACGTGGCGCTCGCTAAGTTGCATTCTGATGTACCTGGAGGTGCGGCACGGAAGGTGCATTCTGATGTACCTGTACGTGCGGCAGGCAATCTGATGTACCTGGACGTGGGGCGAGTAAGGCTTTTTTTTTTTTTTTTTTTTTGGGTGACGTGTTTTCTCACGTACCTGGACGTGGCGCTCGCGAAGTTGCATTCTGATTTACCTGGAGGTGCGGCACGCAAGGTGCATTCTGATGAACCTGGTGGTGCGGCACGCAAGGTGCATTCTGATGTACCTGGACGTGCGGCAGGCAAGGTGCATTCTGATGTAGCTGGACGTAATGGCCAGGTACATTCCGTTAAGGGCATAATCGTCCCAACGACGACGCGATGACAAGATTCGCCTCTGGCTGACGGGTTTGAAATCATAGTAGAAGGGGGCGATGGCGGTGATGTCGGCGGCGACAGCAGCGGAAGAAGAGAGGAAGAAGAAAAGAGGAGGGGAACAGTGCAACAAGAGTTTTAGACAAGAGAGAAGAGGATGGATGACCTGCCTGTTTGATCGTCACACGCCATCGATGTCATCACGATGAGAACGTCGCGCGCAGCTGACCCGCTCTGTACCCTCTCCCTCTAGTTCTCACCCTCCCCCTCCTCCCCGGTCTTTCTTTTCGCACGCTTCCGCTCCCCCTCCCTCGCGCCGTCCCCTGGCAGCTCAGCTCAGGGGGTGATAAGAGCAGCTTTATGTGGTACCCTCCTCTAAACGCGCTTCGTTTTTTTTTTTTTTTTTTTTTTTTTTTTTCCCTGAGCATCAGAAGGACGGGCTATCTGATAATGGGGTTGGTAAGAGCAGCCCCCATTAGCACTGGCCCGCTGGTTGATGGCTCCTTTCTATTGGTGGGGAGCAGCACCTGCCGGAAAGTGGGTCCAGAGTCCCTTCTTGCAGACTAATCTGAACGCGATTTTTTTTTTTTTTTTTTTTTGTAACTCGATTTTGCTTGCGTGTGTGGAAAGGATGTTTCTCTCTGCTTTC